GGAAATCATACGTACTGATGTGTGCGGTCCAATGAGTGTTGAGGCTCGCGGTGGCTATCGTTATGTTCTCACCCTCACTGATGACTTGAGTAGATATGGGTATGTCTACTTAATGAAACACAAGTCTGAGACCTTTGAAAAGTTCAAGGAATTTTAGAGTGAGGTTGAGAATCATCGTGACAGGAAAATCAAGTTCTTACGATCAGATCGTGGGGGAGAATATTTGAGTCACGAATTTGGCACGCACTTAAGGAAATGCAGAATTGTTTCACAACTCACGCCGCCTGGAACACCTCAGTGTAATGGTGTGTCCGAACGTCGTAATCGCACTCTATTGGATATGGTACGATCTATGATGTCTCTTACCGATCTACCACTGTCATTTTGGGGTTATGCTATAGAGACTGCCACATTCACTTTAAATAGGGCTCCATTGAAATCCGTTGAGACGACACCATATGAATTGTGGTTTGGTAAGAAACCTAAGCTGTCGTTTCTAAAATTTTGGGGATGCGATGCTTATGTCAAGAAACTTCAACCTGAAAAGCTCGAAACCAAATCGGAAAAATGCGTCTTCATAGGATACCCTAAAGAAACTATTGGGTATACCTTCTACCTTAGATCCGAAGGCAAGATCTTTGTTGCCAAGAATGGATCCTTTCTAGAGAAAGAGTTTCTCTCAAAAGAAGTAAGTGGGAGGAAAGTAGAACTTGATGAAGTATTGCCTCTTGAACCGGAGAGTGGCGCAGCTCAAGAAAATGTTCCTGAGGTGCCTGCACCGACTAGAGAGGAAGTTAATGATGATGATCATGAAACTTCAGATCATGTTGCTACTGAACTTCGTAGGTCCACAAGGACACGTTCCGCACCAGAGTGGTACGGCAAACCTGTCCTGGAAATCATGTTGTTAGACAATGGTGAACCTTCAAACTATGAAGAAGCGATGGTGGGCCCAGATTCCGACAAATGGCTGGAAGCCATGAAATCCGAGATAGGATCCATGTATGAAAATGAAGTATGGACTTTGACTGACTTGCCCGATGATCGGCGAGCCATAGAGAATAAATGGATCTTTAAGAAGAAGACATACGCGGATGGTAATGTGACCATCTATAAGGCTCGGCTTGTCGCTAAGGGTTATCGACAAGTTCAAGGGGTTGACTACGATGAGACTTTCTCACCCGTAGCGAAGCTGAAGTCCGTCCGAATCATGTTAGCAATTGTCGTATTCTATGATTATGAGATATGGCAAATTGACGTCAAAACAACATTCCTTAATGGTTTCCTTAAGGAAGAATTGTATATGATGCAGCTGGAAGGTTTTGTCGATCCTAAGAATGCTGACAAGGTGTGCAAGCTCCAACGCTCAATCTATGGGCTGGTGCAAGCCTCTCGGAGTTGGAACATTCGATTTGATGAGATGATCAAAGCGTTTGGGTTTACGCAGACTTATGGAGAAGCTTGTGTTTACAAGAAAGTGAGTGGGAGCTCTGTAGAATTTCTCATATTATATGTGGATGGCATACTATTGATGGGAAATGATATAGAATTCTTGGAAAGCATAAAGGCCTACTTGAACAAGTGTTTTTCAATGAAGGACCTTGGAGAAGCTGCTTATATATTAGGCATCAAGATCTATAGAGATAGATCGAGATGCCTCATTGGTCTTTCACAAAGTACGTACCTTGACAAGATATTGAAGAAGTTCAATATGGATCAGTCCAAGAAGGGGTTCTTGCTTGTATTGCAAGGTATGAGATTGAGCACGGCTCAATGCCCGACCACGGCAGAAGATAGAGAAAAGATGAGTGTCGTCCCCTATGCCTCGGCCATAGGGTCTATTATGTATGCCATGCTGTGTACCGGACCTGATGTAAACCTGGCCGTGAGTTTGGTAGGAAGGTACCAAAGTAATCCCGGCATGGAACACTGGACAGCGGTCAAGAATATCCTGAAGTACCTGAAAAGGACTAAGGATATGTTTCTCGTCTATGGAGGTGACGAAGAGCTCGTTGTAAAGGGTTACGTCGATGCTAGCTTCGACACTGATCTGGATGACTCTAAGTCACAAACCGGATACATCTATATTTTGAATGGTGGGGCAGTCAGCTGGTGTAGTTGCAAGCAAAGCGTCGTGGCGGGATCTACATGTGAAGCGGAGTACATGGCATCCTCGGAGGCAGCACAAGAAGCAATCTGGATGAAGGAGTTCATTGCCGACCTAGGAGTTATTCCCAAAGCGTCGGGCCCGATGACTCTCTTCTGTGACAACACTGGAGCTATTGCCCTTGCCAAGGAGCCCAGGTTTCACAGGAAGACCAGGCATATCAAGCGTCGCTTCAACTCCATTCGTGAAAATGTTCAAAATGGAGACACCGATATTTGTAAAGTGCATACGGACCTGAATGTCGCAGATCCATTGACTAAACCTCTTCCTCGAGCAAAACATGATCAACACCAGAACTCTATGGGTGTTCGATTCATCACAATGTAACTAGATTATTGACTCTAGTGCAAGTGGGAGACTGTTGGAAATATGCCCTAGAGGCAATAATAAAATGGTTATTATTATATTTCCTTGTTCATGATAATTGTCTATTGTTCATGCTATAATTGTGTTATCCGGAAATCGTAATACATGTGTGAATACATAGACCACAACATGTCCCTAGTGAGCCTCTAGTAGACTCGTTCGTTGATCAATAGATGGTTACGGTTTGCTGACCATGGACATTGGATGTCATTGATAACGGGATCACATCATTAGGAGAATGATGTGATGGACAAGACCCAATCCTAAGCATAGCGCAAGATCGTGTAGTTCGTCTGCTAAAGCTTTTCTAATGTCAAGTATCTTTTCCTTAGACCATGAGATTGTGCAACTCTCGGATACTGTAGGAATACTTTGGTGTGCCAAACGTCACAATGTAACTGGGTGACTCTAAAGGTGCACTACGGGTATCTCTGAAAGTGTCTATTGGGTTGGCACGAATCGAGACTGGGATTTGTCACTCCGTTTGACGGAGAGGTATCTATGGGCCCACTCGGTAAGACATCATCATAATGAGCTCAATGTGACTAAGGGTTGGTCACGGGATGATGTGTTATGCAACGAGTAAACTGACTTGCCGGTAACGAGATTGAACGAGGTATTGGGATACCGACGATTGAATCTCGGGCAAGTAACGTACTGATTGACAAAGGGAATTGTATACGGGATTGCTTGAATCCTCGACATCGTGGTTCATCCGATGAGATCATCGTGGAACATGTGGGAGCCAACATGGGTATCCAAATCCCGCTGTTGGTTATTGGCCGGAGAGTTGTCTCGGTCATGTCTGCATGGTTCCCGAACCCGTAGGGTCTACACACTTAAGGTTCGATGACGCTAGGGTTATTAGGAAGATTTGTATGTGATTACCGAATGTTGTTCGGAGTCCCGGATGAGATCCCGGACGTCACGAGGAGTTCCGGAATAGTCCGAAGGTGAAGATTTATATATGGGAAGTCATCATACGGTCACCGAAAATATTCAAGGGTATACCGGTATTGTACTGGAACCACCGGAGGGGTTCCGGGGGTCCACCGGGTGGGTCCACCTGCCCCGGAGGGCCTTATGGGCTGTAGGTGGAAAGGAACTAGCCCCTAGTGGGTCGGGCGCCATTCCCCCCTAGGGCCCATGCGCCTAGGGTTTGGGGGGGGGGGGGAACCCTAAAGGCCCCCCCTTTGCTTGGGGGGCAAGCCCCCTCCCCCTTGGCCGCCGCCCCCCTCTAGATCTCATCTAGAGGGGCCGGCCCCCTTCCCCCTTCTCCCTATAAATAGAGGGGCGAGGGGAGGGCTGCAGCACCACATCCAAGGTGCAGCCCCTCCCCTCCCCAACACCTCTCCTCCTCCGCGTGAGCTTGGCGAAGCCCTGCCGGAGGACTGCCACTCCGTTACCACCACGCCGTCGTGCTGCTGTTGAAGCCTTCTTTCTCAACCTCTTCCTCCTCCTTGCTGGATCAAGGCGCGGGAGACGTCACCGGGCTGCACGTGTGTTGAACGCGGAGGCACCGTTGTTCGGTGCTTAGATCGGATTCGGCCGCGATCTGAATCGCTACGTGTACGACTCCTCCAACCGCGTTCTTGCAACGCTACCGACTCGCGATCTTCAAGGGTATGAAGATGCACTCCCCTCTCGTTGCTAGTTACTCCATAGATTGATCTTGGTGATGCGTAGTTTTTTTTTAATTTTTGCAACGGTCCCCAACATTTTTTGCCACTGATATGTTTCCTGGTATTTTTCACAAAATTTCACACGGAAGTAGATCGGGAACCCAGGTTTGATATCTTAAAATCTCAGATTCCTTTTCAAATTTCTTGGTACTTTTTTGAATTTAATGTTCGTATAGGGATGTGGAGCGGGTGTGCTACAAATCCACTTCCATAACTTATGCATGTTATCGATGTAAGTTACTCTTCACTATGATTAGCCTAACATAACGCATCCGAGGCAAAATGAGTCTAGATCTAAATAAATAATGGTTCGTATGATATTACACATATGTTACTACCCACCATGAAGATAGTAACATGCATAATATTTGTATGTTACTTCTCACTATGACCATAGTAACATAGTCTAGCAATATGATAAATCAAGAACACGTAAAAACCAAAAGCTGATTTAATTAAAGGCAAGATATATGATCGAAAGAAGAGGAAAAAATGAATACAAATAAGACATCAATGTCGATTACTTTTTTACCGCACACAAACTAAAGAGATTACTCAATCGAACAAGACCCCTCAAAGAAAAAGAAAAACTCAATCGAACGAGAATGAATTAAACTTGCTTCACCGGCCGGTCCCGATCCATAACCTTGAGCGCACCCGAAGATATCCCAAGGCCACCCTGTGGAAACTCAACGCGCACAAGCATGCATGCATGCAATGGTCGATGCAGCACGTTTCGTGGTAGGCAGAGACGTCGACGCCGGCGGAACGTATGCGCGCATCGATCACAGGGTGTTGGGCCCGTCGTTGTAGGCGTCGCAGCGCCGCCTGATCTCGCCATCGGCGCCGGTCTTGACGCCGTACATGCTGAGCTTCTCCATGGCGCGGGCGAAGTCGTCGAAGAAGGCGGTGTTGTTGGCGGCGTAGCGCTCCACGAGGGGCCTGGTGCGCAGGTCCGACCACATGTCCTCGTCGGTGCTCAGCAGGCCCAGGCCGCGCTCAATGTTCACGTAGTACATGTTGTCGAACTTGCCGGGGGTCATGACGTCGTTGAAGGCGGCGATGGTGGGGTCCTTGAGGTACTCCTTGCAGGCGGCCTGGAGCCCCTTGGCGTAGCCCGGGTTCATGGTCGGGTCGAACGGCGCCGGCTTGCCGGTCTTGTCGCGGTAGTTGTAGATCCTGGACGCGAACTCCTGGCAGTGGGAGAAGCCCAGCGTGTGCGCGCCGGAGAGCGCCACCATCTCCTGCACCGTGAACCCCTTGGCCAGGAAGAGCTCGAGGATGCGCCCGACGGTGAAGTTGGAGTGCGGGAGCTCCACGTCGGGGGCGGTGGGGCTGGAGGAGAGCGAGTCCTTGCGGCCCAGCGGGACCGGGTACCTGGGGCCTCCGGTCATGGTGACCAGCACCCTGGACGCCAGGGCCAGGACGTCGGCGCAGGAAACCACGCCGGGGCACTCCAGCTCCAGGGCCAACTTGGAGCGCACCACGGCGTCGAAGGCGTCGCCGGGGAGGGAGTGGTTGATCTCGGCGTCCTTCTCGGATTTGGCGAAGCGGGTGGGCGCGATCAGCACGGAGGCGTCGCAGCCGGTCACGAAGCAGTCGTGGAAGAAGACGCGAAGCATGCCCGCGGCGGTGGTCGGGTTCGCCATCTGCTTCGACTGGACCACCTCCGCGATGATCCGCTCCGCCCGTGGGCACGTCTGGCTGTAGAAATCGGGCGACAGCTTGGCCGCCGGGGCCCCCGCCGCCGCCTGGGGCACTCCCGGCCCGGCGAGCACTCCTGCCGCCGCCGCTTGGGGCACTTGCGGCCCGGCGCCCATTCCTGCCACCGCCGCCGCCGCCGCTTGGGGCACTCCCGGCCCGGCGCCCATTCCTGCCACCGACGCCGCTTGGGGCATTTCCGGCCCGGCGCGCACTCCTGCCACCGCGGCGGCGAGGAGGGCGGCCGCGGCCAGGAGGAGGAGGGACAGGCGGCGCATGTCTGCTGCTAGCTGCTTGGTACGTCGATCCTGCGGGTGTGCGGTTCTTGGGTTAACTCGACCCTCTAGGTCCTAGCAGGCGACGTCAGGGCCGGCGAGGTGTGTGGGGGTCCTAGAAATGCGAGGGAGAGGGGAGGAGGGTGGTGGAGTGTTGCAGCGGATGTTTGCCGGAGCCGGTGGAGGAGAGCGAATGGCGGGAACGGAGTTGGCGGGGAGTGCTCCTAGGCGGAACAAGAGGCCGGAGAGGCAGAGCAGACACCATCTACTAGTACGAACGAAGTAGCGTGTCCGTCGCTCTGTTTCTTTTACTAGCCTCTCCTTTGGTTTGGAGAAATTTCATAGGAATTTTTATAGGATTTTTTTCCTTTAGAGCCCTTTGGTTTATAGAAATGGATTCCTATTCCTACATAGGATTGGTTCCTATCCTCCACATTTCATAGGAAAATAAAAATGAGTCTAGACTCAATGAAAAAATTCCTTTGGTGTCAACCAAATGACATCTCGATTCCTATTCCTACTCATAGGATTTGAGATACACGCCATCTCATTCCTACAAAATTCCTATTCCTACGATAATCCTATCCTATGAACCAAAAGAGTAGCCTTATCTGACTGCTAAGCTGCGCTGTTTGCTTTCAAAAAGAAAAGAAAAACTAGCTGGGCTGTTAGCCTGTTATTTTTTTTAGAAACACATGTAACTTTATTCACACTTGTAATTGTTACAGGTACAACGATTTTGATCTAAGACCCAAGAAAATACAGAGTAACTCCTATGAGTAGAATTACAATGAAATCTCTTGAAAACATCTTCTTCATGGTATCAATCTCTACTCGAAGAAATGCTCCAAAACTTCGGTAAAGAGGCTGCAATTAGACTGGAGCAACGATGTTGTCACTCTTTCACCTGCACGAAAATTACCAGTAATGTTTTTTGAAAGCGTCTTGAGTCGCCCATTCAAAAAGATGGGAAGCCTTGATCGATGAACGTACTTGTGCCGGAGATGACCCCTAGAAGTGCAGGCCGTCAAATCACTATATCTTCATCATGATGTCGATAAAAGATCCACAAAGAATCAGACCAGCAAAAAAGCTTGACACAACAATACAAACTCATCACATCCGAATACTCGGATCTGCAAGGACAGAAAACTCTCTAATCTCATGGCACCGCAAAAAATTAGAGAAAATTTATTCTCAAAAAACTACGATTATCACTAGACGTTGACGAAGAACATAGAGATCTTGAAGATCCAAGGTCCCCCCACCTCTCAACGCCAAGATGGCAGCCGAAGGTGAGGGGACCTAAATTTCTCAGATGCGGCGGCGGCGGCACAGGAACGGGAGACCCTAGCTTTAGGTAGGTTTCGCCTGTTAGCCACTTACTTACATTGTTGCATTCAATTTCATACCTAAAGGGCATGTTTAGTTACCCGCGTCATCCCAAACAAACCCAATGGGTGCAAGAAAATCACGTTTGGTATCATATAATGGGGCTTGGCTCGCACGAGCATAGGCCTTAAAGTAGCCTATAACTTGGCTCGCTAGGAACGCTCGAATCTGCCGTTTCCAGCGGGCCAGGTTGAGTCAAGCGCAAAAAAGTGAGCGACTGAGCGGTGTGCGCGATAGTACTGTGGAAACTAGACACGGAGATGTCAGGAGGCCGAAATGTGCTGGCGCGGGATGACCTCACCCCCCATTTACTCGCTCACCTCTTGCTCTAAGACTAGCCCATTCTTGGTTCTTGCACCGGCGACGACGACGACTCAGATTTGCGCAAGCAATGGCGATAGCATCATTCTCTGGCAGTAGGAGCTGCTTCTCCCCATCATCTTAGCCTCCATCTCGTTCTCCTCGTCTTAGCCATGGCCCTCCAGTCCTCGTCGACTATGAAGCTGGTAAGCAGCATATACAACCCCATCCTCTGTTGGTTGGTAACACCGACCGAGACTAAAAGGCAGCCACGCGTTAGCTCCTACAAAGCACTGGGGTTTTTGGGGGTTTTGAAAGGAGGAGTTTAGGGTTTTGGAGGGTTTAGGGGTTTCATTTTGTGTTTCCTCCTTTTATTTTTGTGTTTACCATTCAACTCTTTTATATGTAGGGTTTTCATTTTTATTTTATGTCTTCCATTCAACTCGACACTAGCTAGCTACTACATATACATATAGCAATGAAGGAACCATTACACCAACATCGTCATGAATATAGAGAGAAGTGACCTCTCTTTCTCCGTGTTTGGTCGAACAACAACTTTTTGTATACCTATTTCAACGCTACTACATATAGTACACGTTTATGCATATATACAATATAACATCTCTTACGATCCCTAGCTAGCTAATATCTAATTACCAAACTCAAATTTCATAACCCGATGGTATTCTCCGTGTGTAGGTATGACCTCTTCAACAAGGAATCCCGCCAATTTCTCTTGAATTGCTCGTATGCGATCATGTGGTAGGAGTTCATCCTGCTTCCATAGGATCTAATTTAAAGAAGGGGACTAGTCATTCTATGTATCCCCGAGTCCAAGACAATTACTAGTCCCGCGTCAAGTGTAATAACTAGCAGAATAAAGTAGAACCCGCGCACGCATAACTCATCAATTACACTTAACCTCGAGTTAGCAAAACAGAATGTGCACAAGACAGTAACACTCACCGAAGTTGTAAGGAAATAGTATTTCCCTTATGGTTTGTTGTTGAATTAACGCCTTTAGCAAGTATTTCTCTCTATCCTCGGCCATGTGTTTTACCGTATATTCATTTACGGTATTTGGGTTAATGAACCCAATGTCATAGATTTGTCCTCTTTTTCATTCGAGGATCTTCAATCTGCATAATATAGTGAGGATAATTATGCATACAATGAACAAGCTGAGCTAGAGACTTAATTACAGAAATAATACTTACAGACAATAGCAACTGACGATAGTTTTGTCGAGGGCGTCTTGATTGAATAACTGAAAGAATTCATCAAATTCAATGTACAACGCCTTGACTCCATTGAAAAAATGCTCATATTTAATTCCCACGAAGATACTGTTCCTCCCATCCTTGCAGGCTTTCATGTACCACTGATGCAATTTTCGCATTTGTGTTGTTAGATGCGAGAGCTCCTCGGGTCTAACGTGAGGCTTCCCGTGCTCGAATCTAAAGGCTAACTTAGCCATTTCGAACTGTACCTCATCGCCTAAGTAATCACCAAGAGTGTAACCAGGATGAGTGGCCGCTACCCCCGGATCATTAGCGATATCTGTAAGCACCTTGAGCAGGGGGCATGATTGTTTTTCCTGTTCTCAGAGCTGGGGACTTTTTTCCCACTTCTTGCACCACTGCTACTTCCCGACCGCTTCACTTGATCAAATGTCTTTACAATACAGCGGTCATAGTGTGATAGCAGCGGAGGCGGTGGTGGTCGTGTAAGGTTATCCAGACAACGGTTCACTTTTATCGGATCAATTTTCTCCTTTGGATCTAGACGTTTCGGTGCAAACTGGCATTTCACATCGGCATCCACGATATCATTAATTTCCTCCTCAGTCATGTCATATGGTAACTTGGTAGGAGCCTTCTTGACGCTTGTACCTGCTCTGGATTTCTTCGCTGTTGTACTGCTAGCCGCCGGAGCGGCGGCGGTTCTCTTTCGCCGGTGCTGAGGCGGTGGAGGAGGCGGAGTCAGCTGACGCGGCGGATTCTACCGAGGGGCCTCCTCTGGCGGAGTCCGTTGAGGCGACGGAGGATTTTGCTGAGGGGCCTCCTCCGGCGGAGTCCGCTGAGGCGTCGGAGTGTGCTGACGCAGCGGAGACGGCTGAGGCAACGGAGATAGAGTTGGACTGTGAGGAGTCTGCTGAGGGGCCTCCTTCGGCCGAGTCTGCTGACGCGGCGGCCAGTGTGGCAGCACGATGTGTTCCTTTCTCCATAGAATGGTAGTCCTTATGGCATCTCTCATATGATTCTCCCCTTCACCTGTAGGGTACTCAAGCTCCAGCTCCTCAAATCCATTCATAACTTTATCCACCCCGACAACAGCAAAGCCATCGGAAATCGAAGAGCAATGGAAAGTTCCATCAGGTCCACGAGGTAAGGCATAGCCGACCGCCACCTTCATGGTTATGTTCATGCATTTCGCATGTAGATCACAATGTTCCTTCTCTGTGATATTGTCGGTGCAACAAACCCCGGGTCTGTTGCCCAGACTGTGCATAGGCACAGGAGCAAGATTACATCACCAGGATCAGGCCAAAGTACGGGAGGTCAAGATCTTCAAAGGACCAATGTGCAGATCAATAGGACCAAGACCAAGCCAGAGAGGTGAGAAACCACCAGGAGAAAAACCTCCCTTGCCAGGCAGGCGAGCCTGGTGAGGACGGGGCCACCCCCAGAAGAAAACCTCCAAGATGCCCCGGCAGGGCCTGCAGGGACTCGCGGAGGCTGAGCCACCTCACCGAACCACCTCACTGTTGGGGAACGTAGTAATTCAAAAAAATTCCTACGATCACGCAAGATCTATCTAGGAGATGCATAGCAATGCGATGGGAGAGTGTGTCCACGTACCCTCGTAGACTGAAAGCGGAAGCGTTTAGTAACGCGGTTGATGTAGTCGAACGTCTTCACGATCCAACCGATCCAAGTACCGAACGTACGCACCTCCATGTTTAGCACACGTTCAGCACGATGATGTCCCTCGAGCTCTTGATCCAGTTGAGGGTCGAGGGAGAGTTCCGTCAGCACAACGGTGTGGCGACGGTGATGATGAAGTTAAGGGCGCAGGGCTTCGCCTAAGCACTACGACGATATGACCGAGGTGTTAAACTATGGAGGGGGGCACCGCACACGGCTAAGCGATTGTCTATTATGCTTTGGGGTGCCCCCTTGGCGATGTATATAAAGGAGGAGAGGGAGGAGGCCGGCGACCAAGGAGGGCGCGCCAAGAGGGGAGTCCAACTAGGATTCCAAATCCTAGTTGGATTCCCTTTCCTATTCCAAGAGGGGGAAGGAGGG